AGTTTACACAGGCTCCTCTGGAGGACACCTCTGCACTTTGAGAACAACATTTATATAGATGTCCATTATGGACAGGTAAGCAGCAAGACCAGTGTGTGCACCTGGAACCTCCCTAGCAAGGCTCCCTAGCAGGGACAGCATTAGTGACCAGGCCCTTGGGAATATCCCAAGAGGGCTGAAGAAGCAGGAGGGCTTTGGCTGATGGGCTGTGTATGCTGTTTCTGGGAATGACCATTAACTGAAGCTCTGGATGCCAGGAAGGCAATGTGCCTGTAGCCCTAGCCTATGAGCTGTCCTGTTCCAGACAAGGATTGTGCAGTTCTGCATGCTCTTCCTGAGCTCAGAAAGCCTTCTCTTGTGTGTTACCAGCCTGAGCTGGATGTGCTGCCAGCAAGGCACTGCCCAGACCTGCCTATACCTTCTGGCAGGTTTAACAGAGGCCTCTCTTCTGTGCTGTCTCTCAGATGCAGTGGGATTACCTGAATGAGAGGATGCTTTTGAGCTGTAGTAAAGAAATGGAGATGCAGGTGGGCATTTTGGCAATGCTCCAGCACTGGGCCAAACCAGAGCAGCAGAACTCTGCTCTCTCCAGGTATGTCTGTTGCAGGGTGGGTCTTTATCTCTAGTGGCTGTTGGCATAACAGGGGTTAGGAGTGGGTGGCTGAAAGTATTCTCTGGATAATGAAGGAATGGACAGTTCTGGAGAATATAAGCTACTAATTGATGTCACTTTAGTGACTGACTCCTGCTGTTAGTCAGGGAAGTTTACCTCCTGCTCCCACTCTTAATGCTGACTGTCTCTTATGCACATTTCTTTTTGTGGCTGCTCCTGAGCTGAGGGTCATGAGGGTTCCATGGACATTTCTTTTGATTGCCATGTGTTTGTAATACCAAGGAGGCAGTGCATGAGCTTATAATTGGGATGAATGCTCCTTTGCTGTTTCTCACAAGTGCCAGACTTACCAACCTAGGGCACCTGAAATCTGCAGTGAGCTGCCTAATGGGAAGGAAAATGTCCCTGGGCACTGGAAAGTGTTTGTCCTACAGTCCTGAGCTGTGTTTTCACAGTCCTTCCTTCCTGTACCCTTAAGCACTTTGACTCAAAGTCAAGGTAATGTCTACACCAGATCCCCTTAGAGCACCAGCAGCAGGAGGTAATGGCATAACCCTGCTGGGCATGGGGAACTCTGCTTTCTGTAGTGCTTTGGATGCGCAGGAGCGAGACAGGGCTTGAGTAAGGTGGTGTTCAGCTGAGATTGCCTAAGAAACACCCCTGGTGTTATTCTATGCTGCAGTCCTTGCTTGAAGAGCTCCTGTTGATTCCAGAAAGGAAGGACCTGTTTCTTAGTGCACTAGTCAGTGGTGCATAGCTGTCTGCTCTGTGGGAAGTGCTGGTCTCACTCTCTCTGATGTTTCCTTACATGTTATCCAATGCAGACACAACCTGTTCTGCTCCTTCCCTCTCCCTCCACCCATGCCCCCAGCCATGCAATTGAAAATTGTTGCCACATCCCTCCCCTCTCCTTAATCCCCCTGGTGATCCTTCAATTTTAGCTGGGCAGGGGGTGAATTAGCATCTGCTTGCTGGCACAGGGAAGAGCTGAAGGAGTACACACCAAAGACCCTGCAGTCCTACATCAGTCCGGAGGTTCTGCAAAACCAAGTTGACATGCTGCTGAGAACCAGGCAGCCCCTCCCGCCAGTGGATGCAAAAATCCAGTTCATAGGTGAGGAGATAACCAGACCTGTTTGAGATCTTGATGTAAGCTGCTCTGAATACACTTTTGGGACAGCTCATGAGGTTGGCAAGGATCTTTGAAGCCTGGAATGGACTGTGACAGCTTCCCCCTGCAGATGAGCACTTGTTCCCAAGCATGGTGATCACAGTTAGAAGTTCCACTGCTTGTACATATGTCCACAATAGATTTTAGAGCTCTGTACAAATTGTGTTTTAATTAATATTTTGGTTGCATATCTGTTTTCTGATAGGGAAAGAACGGGGCATCATTGCAGGCTGTTGAGAATTTTATTGAGTATCAGCAGCTGAGGGGAAGGGAGGGAGAAGTTGTCAAGCTCACTTTTTAATGCGGAAATGCTTGGGAACACTTGCAGCTTTTGACCACCTTAGTTAGTGCAGTAGATTGCTGCCTGGAAGCTGCTGCCTGAAAGCCACTTATTTCTTTCTTACAGAACATGTGATGAAATTGCCTTTCTTTGGGTACACCATCTACTTTGTCGAGAGAGTCAGCGATGACACAATCTCTGTGCCGTGTTTCTTTGGCGTGAATAAAGAGGAGATCATTGTGGTAGACAAGACCAGCCAGGTATGCTAGACAATTCCTCCACAGAGTCCAGACCCCTGATGTCTGTCAGATGTTAACTTTGACTTTTAGAAGAACTTGTGCAGGGAGAGACTGTATCTACCTGTATCACAGCCACACTAACAGCCCTAGCCCAAAATGAGTAATGAGTGGTGGAACAATTACTAATGCCATGTACTTACTTTTGTAAGTACAGTGATCATAGAATCACAGACTGGTTTGTATTGGAAGAGACCTTAAAGCTCATCCAGTTCCAACCCCTGCCACAGGCAGGGACACCTTCCACTAGAGCAGCTTGCTCCAAGCCCCTGTGTCCAACCTGCCCTTGAACACTGCCAGGGATGGGGCAGCCACAGCTTCTCTGGGCACCCTGTGCCAGCACCTCAGCACCCTCACAGGGAAGAGCTTCTGCCTAAGAGCTCATCTTAGTCTCCCCTCTGGCAGGTTAAAGCCATTCCCCTTGGCCTGTCCCTGCAGGCCCTAGTCCAAAGCCCCTCTCCAGGTTTCTTGTAGCCTCTTTAGGCACTGGGAGCTGTCCTATGGTCTCCCCTTAAGGAGCCTTCTCTTCTCCAGCCTGAACCAGCCCAGTTCTCTCAGCCTGGCTCCAGAGCAGAGCTGCTCCAGCCCTTGGAACACCTTTGAGGCCTCTTTATGCTGGGGGCCCAGAGCATGATTCACAGTAAAACCAAGTGTAGGTCCCATTCCTGCTTGTCCCAGTCTTGCAGCACTGCCCTCTGCTCCAGTCCTTGTTTCATCTTCCAATAGGCTCTTGAGGTGAATCCTCCTTAGGGATAATCAGACGGTTTTATTTGTAAGGACTGTACCCGAGGGTGGGCTGTGGCTTTTCTTCACACCCAGGCAGTCTCCTGCATCATTCCACTGAAAGAGCTGCAGAAGATGCGAACTCTGAGGCCTCTCTCTGATGGTGGGCTTCCTGGCTTAGAACTGAACTATGGCTCGGCTGCTAGCCCCAAGACTATGTGGCTTGAACTGTCACAGGTGAGATCACCCTGGACCCCACAGCAACTCAGAAATAGCCCTCCACTGTCCAGCTAAGCCTCTTCTGTCCCAGAGGTGGAAGAGGCACTGCATTTCCCAAGCCCCAAAGTGCAGCTTTGCCCCAACATGTACCTGATGTTTACTTACAGAAAGTGATTTATGGGAATACTTAATCATGAGAAGCAGACACTTCTGGGTCAAAGAATGACTGATGCTGATTTGTGTTTTGACAGGCTAAAGAAATGTATCACACAATTGTTGTCATCCTGGATAAAACAGAGTTGCATCACTAGAGCCTAAGAGGAGAACGACTAAGAACAACAGCACTGTTTTCTGTTCTTTGAGCTTGTTCAATGTTTCCTGCCCTGTCATCTGGAGGGGGACTCTTCCAAAAGACATCCGCAACCTCAGACAGCTGCTTCCTAAGACTGCTACCACCGTGTTTGCTCATGGACTGGAACATAACCTCACCCCTCCTGACCTGCCATTCAGTCCCCAAGTCCTCTCCCTTGAAGTAATGCGTGTGGTGGCTACCTAGACCACAAAGACACCCTTTCCACACCACTGCTCTTCCATAGCCTGTTTCAATGTGAGCAGATACAAGTAATTGCCTGGAAGAGTGTGGAACTCCTCTTTTTTCCCAATTAATTAACATGAGCAAAACCTGATCTTTGCTATAGATTTATGTAGCCTAATGGACAGCTGAGCCTATGACATGACTGCACTAGCATTTTCCATAGGCCAGCTTGTTCTTTGTATTGATATGCAAGAGGCCCTATAGCAGGGTTTGTGAAGCAGGAGCTTGTAGAAAGCATCATAATTGCAAACCATGTCACTGTTAATATACAATTAACACATGCTGCAGCACAGATAGAGATGTGATGGTAAGACAGTTTATTCTTGATTAATTTCTTATTGACAACTATATTCATGTTTCCCTCTGCTATGAAGAAGTGTCACGTCCATGCAGCTGTCATACTGAAATGATAGGGCCATGCCCATAGAGAAAGCATTTTCAAATGGAACTTTTACTCCAGTAGAGGAGTGTGTCCTGGGTTGTACACAAATGCTTAATTTATTTTTATTGCTACAGCTATCCTACTGCACTGCAGAATAGTGAACTTCAGAAGACTGCAATAAAATGATCACATGGAGATGTTTCGAAGCTCTGACATGCCAGACACAGGTTTATGTCTACCATGGGAAGAGTGACCTGTGGGTAACTGTCAAAGCTTGAGGAAAAAGTGGTTACTTGGCTGAGACAGGGATAGATGTTGGGGCTCTCCATGCAAGCCATGATGCACAGCTAGGGCTTCTTGCTGGTGAGCTGATGTCAGCCTCTTTCCTGTCAGGAACTTCCCTTCATGTCCTGCTCACTGTGGCGTCTTCCACCCTCCCCATTCAGCAGGTAATGTACCACAGTGACATGAAAGGAAAGAATAGAGAAGACAGATAGCCCAACATTAAATTAGCCTTATTCCTCTTCTCTTTCCCTGAGCTTTTGCTGCCTTACATAGAAGCACAACTTATCTGGTTAGAAATGCCTGTCATTGTGATAAAGAACTTGGTCATACAACTCCATGCCTCATTTAAAAGACAAAGCATTTCTGACAAGTTCACCCAGGCAGCAACTGAACTTCATAAGCACTGAACTGTGGAGAGATAGGAACCCCACTCAAATTCGCTGACAAACCAGGATTTTTCATGGGAAGGTAAACCAGAAACTAGCAGGCAACAGCTAAAAAACACTTGTATTGTGTAAAAGGCTTCTTGTAAAGCCCTTTGGCCTCCACTGACAAGAGCAAGCTGAAGATGAAAGTGACTTTGAGTTAAACATTTCCAGGTTCTCCCCTTGCTCCTAGCTGGAGAAGTCCTGCAGCAGTAAAGGGGTGGAGGCATCTGTGGGCACGCGCTTCCCATCCAGCCCCTCCCAGGCTTGCATTTATTAGCTGTCTGTTCAGATATGAAATGAGCTTTCATGTCTATGTTCAGAGCGATGACGTCCTAATGTATCTGAGACCAGTCCATATGATTGAGTGGTAACAAAAAGCTTCCAGGAAGAGTCCACAACAGCTCTAACACTGGTTTATTGTCAGTTCCACATGTAGCCTTCAGTACATTAAAAAAAAATACACCCATTGAGTACAGTGATCTAAAAGGCATTTGATGGCCTCTGAGGCTGCAGATTCCTCCAGCAGCACTAGTGCCTGAGGCCACCAACCTCTATGAGAATGGAACAAAAGCAGAACCCAGTAACAACTGAACAGAAAGAACCTGTGCCAGGGAATTGGGTTATTTCAAGCCCACTGATGCCCTAAAGTTCAGATTCTCATATAAATATAGCAGCAGACACACCATAGTGTCAATTTGAGGGCCACAGTGGTACCTTAACCAGTTGTAACAGCACCACTGCCTTCGGTATTGCAGACTGCAGGTGAGGCACAGGTAGCAAATATGGCTTTAGGGGTTACAAGCAAACGCTGGAAAAGTGTTGGCAACCTTGGTGCTACTATTGGAGAGGTTAATACTGAAAAAGCATCACCGCTTAATATTAAAGGGCAGGAAGAACTAGACAAAGTCAAAAAAGAGAAGTTCAGATTAAAAGAAAAAAGAAATTGAGTTTCTCCACCTTCAGCAAGTATACATTGCCTGTATGGGGGAAACAAAATGCTCCTCTCCTGTCCATCCAAGAACTCAATCATCAACTTTATCATTGGCAGCCCTGAGCAAAGCATGTGAACTTCTAGTATAAGGCTTCTACTGGCAACACTGGAATAAGAACTAAGGGATGGGGGAGCGGGAGAGGACCTATCTAGGAAGCAAGATGCCATCCGAAAGCAGAGTGCCTGTTGGAAAGTCTGAGCAAACTGCTGCATAGAGGTTGGAGACACTGCAGAACATCTGGGGTGGTTGCCCCTAACCTACACAACAGATGAGTAGTTCACACCTCTTAGCAAGGTGTGAGCAACCACTGGGCTTCAGCACCCCACTTACTGGAGAAACTCTCCACACGTCCACAGAAACTGGTTTCCTGGAACTGTGTGTCACTAAGATCAGAAGTGAGCAAAAATGCTGTTGGAAAAGCAAGCTCAGTTCTGTAAGTCCATGAAACCCTCCATGGGTGAGTTCTTCAAGCTCCCCTGGTCACACCACTGGAGGAGGGCAGCCAACGTGATCTGAGAGTCAGCTCCCGGAGCTCTGCAGCTCCTGCCAGTCTGTCTCACTCTCACACCTGACCCTTGTTTTGAAAAACTCCTTGATGAGTCTCTGTGCTTCCTCCTTCACTGCAAGAGAGGAAGCACCACCTTTAAGAAGATACTCAAGACATCTGCCCCTCTAAAGACTCTCATCCATTTGGCATCAGAAGAGACCAATATTCTTGGTGCTCTCCCCAGCTGCCAACTCACCAGTCTTGCGGGCTGGGTTCTGCTCTTCGGTCAGTAAGTGAGACAGGTGCCGAGCAAAGCCTTTGAACAGATCCTGCAGAATTGGGGCATAGCAGAAAGAAGACATCACAGTTACCTCATCAGACAGTTTCCTTTTGTCTTGCTGGCTGTTAGCAGAAACCACTCAGAGATTACGACTACAGGAGTGCTGCAAACACACCTGACCCTGCAGTGCTGAAGAAGCACATGGACTCACATGCTGCCTCCCCTAACACATCAAATAAACTACACCAGAACCGACTTTGATCTCTTGCCCCTTCACAGCTCGGAGCTCTTGAAAACAGGCCAGAGTTTAGAGTGAAAACATAAACAATCAAAACCAGGTGGAACCACCATGATACCACTCTAAATCCCACACAAACCCTTTCTTGGGGTGAGTTGCTGCATTCATGGAAACACATGCCAACATGTGATTTGGAAACGAAAATGTGGTGTTTAGATCATCTTTCCCTTCCTAGAGCCCCTTCCTAGAGCCCCAGATCACTAGGGAGATGCAGCCTCCTTCTGCTAAAGAGGGTCTTGAGCTGTGCCCTACCTTGGAAGCAAATTTGCCGTCCTTGTAGAATGGGGTCAAATATTTGACGACGATGTCTGCTGTCTCTTTGAGGGACATAGCCTTGGTCACTGCCTGTATGGTCCTGCTGGTTCCTTCTTTAGCACACTGCAATAAGTTTGGATCAAAAGTCACCTTCTTCTTTGTTAGACCAACACTTCTGCTTTCTGGCTGGGACAGAATTGAAGATTTTGCAGCTGTCCGTAGCAGCTTTGTTGCAGGAATTTCTATATCCTGGAGATGGGACAGAAGAAAACCAAACCCATTAATTCCTGTGGCAGCATTACATTTCCAAGCAGCCACTACCTGCCAAGAACAGCAGCATCCTACAGCCTCTTCCTACAGTGATTACCATGCAGGTATCTCTGTAACCCATTTTGCTGCCCAGACATGATACACTATTTCTCACACAAAGGGACTTTGAGAAAAGGTCTTAGAACTACCCTGTGCTCTTATTACGGAGCTCACTGCTAGACCTGTCCTACATGGGAAAAATGGACAGGAAACAAATTCCCAGGATGTCTGCTGAAAATACACCCTGTGGGAAGAGCCAGCCACTTCAGGAGTGCCACACTCCTGTTCAGTCTGAGGCATTCTCAGATGCCAAATGCAGAACCAGAGACTGAATGCAAGGAAGGCTGTGAGCATGGTTCACTTCTGAGTGGTCCTATGTGTCACTGGCATGGGGTTACCTTGATTTGACAAAGCAGCTTGCTAGAGCACCTCTGCTATGGACACAGGCTGACAGCTGGGCTTGTTCAGCCTGGAGAAGAGAAGGCTCCTTAAGGGGAGACCTTAAAGCAGCTGCAGTGCCTAAAGGGGAAAACTGGAGAGGGGCTTTGGAAAGGGCCTGTAGGGACAGGCCAAGGGGAATGGCTTTAACCTGCCAGAGGGGAGACTGAGATGAGCTCTTAGGCAGAAGCTCTTCCCTGTGAGGGTGCTGAGGCGCTGGCACAGGGTGCCCAGAGAAGCTGTGGCTGCCCCATCCCTGGCAGTGTTCAAGGCCAGTTTGGACACAGGGGCTTGGAGCAAGCTGCTCTAGTGGAAGGTATCCCTGCCTGTGGCAGGGGTTGGAGCTGGATAAGCTTTAAGGTCCCTTCCAACACAAACCAGTCTTGGAGACTCTGATTCTATGACTCCCAGAGAGAAACTTGGCACAAGGTAGGTAGAAAAAATTAAAAGAAATTAGCACCCATTAAAGTCTTACCTCATCTGATCCTGGTCGCTTCCTACTCTCACTTTCCTCAGCAAAAGTTAGCTCAGTTTCTGTGACATTTTCATCAGCACTAGTGGAAAGAGTGGAGAGAAGGACAATTTTAATCATTCCACAGTGAACATATGACTGCATTTGCTGTTGGTGGCCACGAGACTCTCCATGGTAAAGCACGAGTCTTCCTCACCAGCCTCAAGATCTACAGACAGCACAGGGCTGGTGGGACTCTGCAGCTTATTAACAGGGCAACAATAAGGAGCACAGAAGTAGAGATGTTACCTGGGTTTCACATCAGTTTCTTCCTGAAGGATCTCAGATTCATCAGCCTGAGGGGTCTTGAAATCCTGTTCTCTCTCAGTCAGTGCTACTTGTGCCTCTTCCAGTTCTTCACTCTCTGCCTGGGGTTGTCCAATCACATCTTCTCCAGAGACACCTTTGTTTTCCTGAGGTGCTGGTTTCTCTTGACACATGCTTTGAGAAGAAACCTGAGGTAGTGTGCTTGCAGAACAGCCACCTTCCTTTGCTGAGCTGCAGCTTTTGGCTTTAAACCCACCTTTGCGGAGGGAGAAGAATTTGGAAATATCCTGTGATTCTTTTTTAGCTGCTTCTGTGAGCATTTGCTGCTTTTTGCTACGTTTGGACTTCTTATTAGGGCCCCTCAAAAGGGCAGCTTTTGTGTCTGGATTGGGTTGCTGCTCCTTCTTTTCAGGATGGAGTACTTCCACCCCAGCACTCTCACACATTGCTATTTCTTTCTTCTGGAGAACAGGGCTCCTGGTGTCCAGCTCCAGACTGGAGTTACTGTTGTCTTGTCCATTTGGACAGTCTGCTTCTTTTTTGTCAGGCTTTGCATCACTCTTCTCCTGGATCTTCAGCAGTTCAGAAGCTGTCTGGAACAAACTGGATTTCCTTGGAAATCCTGCTCCCACACGCTTGGGTTTGAACTAGGGAGAAAGGAGGAAGAAATTTTGGACGTGAGAGCATTAAGGAAGCCCTGCGTGCAAAACCCTTTAGGAGCTAAGTTTCTGTACACAACGCACCAGTGTTACAGCCATAAGCTGAGGAAGGCTCTAAAAAACGAGTCATCATCTTAACCATTCCCTGAGACATCTGGGACATGGATTAGGTTAAAGTCTTAGGCCCTAAGTCATTCCCACAGTAAGGAAACAGCATCCTTGTTTAGAGCAAGATGAGAAAAACTTCTTTTACAAATGACCTGGACATAAATTCTATTCACTAATAGGAACCAGCATGACTCATTGATCTCACTCCAAAACCAAAGGACAGAGAGGGAAAGTAATTGCAATAGAAATAGACAGCTATGGCTGTGATAGACAAAGATCCCATTCTCTCCTTGTCTGTTCATATGTACTCACTCACTGAGTAAACCTGGGATGCAGGGAGGAAGTCCTCTTCTGCTGCAGACTCAGATTTTGTTTCCAAGCTGCTCTTGCTACCAGTTGCAGACCCAAAGACTGAGAACAACTCTCCTTGTTTTGAGGCTTTGTTGATTTCTGCTACCTGAAAACAGAAATATCCTCTAGTGGCCAGAAATATTAACATGTTCCTGCCTTTGTACACACTAAAAGCCACGGTGACAAAATAAATGTCTCCTCTGGAGAGACACCTATCTCAAGAACAGAAATGTCTTCAACGAGACTTATGGCAACCAGCTGACCTAACCCAAGGTTCCCCTACTGTCAGCTACAGCCTGAAGAACTCCCCATTCTCCTTATTCCTAGCCCTAGAAGATATCTGGGTAAACTTGCACTGGTATATAGGTTTCCAGAGCCTGTGAAACCAACAAAGGTGTAAAACCAACATGATTCTGGGCCCTCCTGGAAACAAAATAAAGAAAGATTTGGAAGACATCCAAGGCAAAGCAAAGCTTCTCCTTCATCCTTCCCCTACAAGCTCTATCCAATATCCCCTCAAGCAGAGGCCACACCACATTCAAGGAACAACTGCAGATGATGGGCACTACCTTCTTCAGCACAGTTGCCTTGTATGAGTTCGCCATTTTACTGGTTCGGAAAGCTTCATACTCCAGCTCCACGGCACAGGCGTGAGGGTCTGACCTGTAACACAGGCTAGGGTGATTTCTGGCAAGACACACTTCTAGATTTGCAAAGGGAACACTTATGGTTAAGCACCTCCCAGGCATCACAAAACAGACTCTCTCCGGTGCAAGAACAAGTGATAACTTCCAAGTAAATCCTAAGGAATGGGGCAGTGAATTGCTGGAGAATGGAAAGAGTGTTGAAATCACTTTTAAATCTAAGTCTTGTCCAGTTGCTCAGTTTGAGAAGTACATTAACCCCATCTTGTGGGACAGGGAAGAATTGCGACTTCTAGGATCAAGCTGATCTAGCAGAATCAGACACAGGAATCCTCATAGCTGTTAAGTGAATCTACATTCTTGGACCAAACAATTTAAATGACATTCCCTGAGAATGGTAATGCTGCTGAGGGAAGATTAGGCCCTGTATTAAGGGATTCAACATGCTACCCCTTTTCTTTTGTCTCATACCCTTCTCCTGCTGCTGGAACCTTTTGATTGGTGCTCAAAGCTTCTTCCAGCATCTTCAAGCAGTGCTCCCGTCCCTAGGAAACACAGGATACTGAGTCATGCTCTACAGAGATCATAGTGCCCCTTGGACTTCCATCCCTGAAGGAGTAAGAAGAGGGCAGGCAGAATCTTTCTTGTTCTTTGCAAGTCAACAGGACTGAATGCAAACCAGCCTTTCTTACCTTCACTGTGAGCTTAGAGATTCTCCTGCTGATGGCATCCTTCAAGGGACAGTCTGCACCTATCACAGAAGAGATATTTGTCATAGCAGGGCTGGGGCTGGTGGAGAACATCTCAGCTGTCACTGAGGGGTACCTGTCTAGCACTGCTCCACATGCTCCTCCCTGCACAGGTACCCCAAGGATGACTGCAGTCACCTTTGTTACCTGAAGGAGCGACAAACTCCAAAAGAGTAGGCAGAAGCCACAGTAAGATTTTCCTCTCTGGATGAGAATGTCTCTCTTGCTAGTTTATGACTAACAGTTTTCCAAAACTTCCCCATCTCAGGAAACCCTTTCTCAAGAAATCACAGCTCTCAGGAAACTCAACCCTTTTCCACTCCCCACAATAACAACAACAACAACAAAGAGGCTGAACAGAGTAACATGAACTACCATGTAACATGTTCATGTTACTAGACAGGGCTTCATGTAGCACAGTTACAAAGGGATCAGGTTTTCAGCAGTTTCCTTACAGCCCAGTTGGATGCTGCTGCATAACCCATGCAGAAACAGCCTACAAAGTCAGTTTACACAGAGTTTTCCTGCTCTCTTGCTTATTTTGAAAAGTTGTTTAGAAAGATGCATTCCATATCTTCACCCCAACCAAAGCTAAGCTCTGATCCATCTCCTCCAGCCAAGCTTCCACAGCCAAATGTCCAGCCTCTGTGCCTAGGGACTGATATCTCCAGTGTTGATGCTGTATGGATTACATGCAGCTGCAAAATACAAGACTTTCTTCTCCCAAAGAAAACCCATGATAAATCAAGGAAGATACTTACTTGGAGGAACAAAATCTTCCTTTTCTGGTTCTTTGCCCTGGAAGAAAACAAAGATCAGTCAAACATTTCCATTCCTGCAATACACATGGAGGTCTAGAAGCAGCTACAGGGAAAACTAATGCTGAAGTTACAAAGGTACTGAAAAGGCACCAAAATGGGGGAAAGAAGACAATGAGAATGAAAGCCAAAAAGCTCACGTTTGCTATAGGAAAGAGCTGTGCAAGAGAAGCTGAGTGGGAAAATCTAATATTAGAGGAATTAAAGACAACAGGACCCTCTTGATTAGCACTGCAGAGAAAACCAGTACATGAATAAGCTGTGTTTCTTCATATTATAGGACTGACGCAGAACATGGAGAACACAGCAAAAGCAGAGGTACTAGAAGTAAAAACCAAAAAGCAACAGCAACATGCAATAATTTAGTTTCATTAGTGCCAGGAAGCCTTTATGTCTGTAAGACAAGCTCACAGCAAACACTCCAGAAATCTCTTACAAGGGGACCCGAACTCACTCTGCGCAGACTCATCTGCTTTCTGTAGAAGCTGTTCCACTCCCGTTTCCGACTCTCTTCATTGGCTTCATCCGCATTCCCACTGCTTTCTTCATCATATCTAGATAAGGCAGGAAAAGAAGAGGAATAGACATTTCTGTAGGTGCAGTATTAACTAGGGGACAGGCCTAAAAAGCCAAGGTCACTTTTTACAGTATTTACAAAAGATGATTACAAAAGTCTTAGCTTTTAGTTTCACTAACACCCCTCAAGCTGGACAGCAGTGAGCATCCTCCAAAAATTCATGGGACTTGTTAATCCTGTGAACTAGTAAGCAGCAGCATGAACTAGCAGCATATGACTAGTGTTCTGAGAATGGAGGGTTCCATCCATTTCAGAAGCTCTGCCAGATTCTCTCATGGGGAGAATGCCCAAGGTCACTGCCTTGTGTCACTTACTCCAGCCGTCAGTCACTACTGCCCCTGGAGCAGAAATGGCAGAAAGGGCAAAGCAGCCTCAGCTGTTCACAAACTGTTACAGAATCACACAATGGTTTGGGTTGAAGGGACCTTAAAACTCATCCAGTTCTAACCCCTGCCATGGGCAGGGACACCTTCCACTAGAGCAGCTTGCTCCAAGCCCCGTCCAACCTGGCCTTGAACACTGCCAGGGATGGGGCAGCCACAGCTTCTCTGGGCACCCTGTGCCAGTAATTAAATGTTGTGGTATTGTTGTATCAAATGAAATCGCATCACTGATATACAGAAATGCAGCTGGTGAGTCTCACCAGATGTAGCCCAAGTATTTACTGCTTTCCACAGCTGTCACAGCCAAAACTGACAGTTATTACAAATCAGAGCTTGAAGACTATTGACTATTACAACTTCCAAGGCAGAGCTACAATCAAGTTATGGAGAGGTTCAATAAGTCAAGTGGCAGAGAGCTCTACAACAGCATTGGCCATGTCTTCTCAGGTCCTGAGATCAAACTTAGGTCACAAGGACACCAGTTCCCTCTGACTCAGCTGGACTTGCCTGAAGACCAAAGCTCCCAGGCTCAAGCTGTAAAAGGTAAAGCAGGGGCCAGGCCAGTCAGCAGTGATGCACATCCAGCAGAGCTCCCCAGGCAGTGCAGGCAGCCAAGGTTGAATCCTGACAGAGCTGCACCTTTGCTGCAACTCAGCCAGAGAACAAGGAGGAAGAGAAGTTGCCATCTCCACGCTGCCAAGTGTTTTACAGAATTTATCATGTTTCCCACTGTACATCTTCCTTTTGCTGTCAGCCTGATACTGAAACACTAAAATTTAGCAGCTGACACTGGCACTCCATTATATGCTCTGTGGTGACCAAGTCCTGTCAGTGTCCCCTAGCTTGCTGGCCCACAGACAGAAATGAAGTCTGGACCATGTCATACTTTGCTGTCACATTGGTCTCAATTCAAACAGTTTTGGTCCTTGTGACTGTGAACAGGCTGAGCTCACTTACTGCTTTCCAAAAATGTCAGGCTAGTTTCTTGAACAAATTACATTCTGCAGGGTACTTCTTAGGTCAGTCAGAACAGCTTTTGACTCTCTGGGACATGAATGTGCTTCAGGCTGCCAAAGTGTGTGGAAAATTAAATTCCAGCTCCTGCTGCCAGGAAGTTAGAGGAAAATACCAACACACAGAAACATGTGCTGAAAATAGGAATGGCTGGACCTGCAGCTGGGAGAGAATCTCTGCCCTCCCAGCAGATAGCTCCTATGAGCTGAGTTTGAAGCAGCCAAGTACAGACCTGCTAAAACCTCTGCAACCTCTTCTTCCGCCTTCATACAGTTCTGGGTCATAGCCCTCCCAAGAGGAGCTTGTGGGCCCAATGCAGGTTCTGCTCCAGCTGTTGCTGCACCGCTCCAGTGACTCCCATTGTCTTTTCACTGCTGCTGGGTTCTTGCAGTAGTCACAGCACTTGTTACAAGGAGGGGTGACATCCCCAAAGTACTTTGCTATGGCAGCATGGCGACATCTGGGAAACAAAAGGGAAAATGAGCTGTCAATTATTTTTATTGACAAGAACTCCACCCTCCAAATACAAGGTGTCTTTTGATAAAGACTTGAGGTTTGTCTGGTTTGGTTTGGGTTTTTTTTGCAGAGAATGCCTGTTCCAGCAGGAATCACAGGGATTAAGTTCTGGAGCAGAATTGGGGTTCTCTTCCTGGCAAGTTGCTTAAGGTCTCTCTGCGTCCACTTCCCCACATATAGAACAAACAGAGCTGTCAATCTCTTCTGCTAAATGATTTCAGATCTTTGAGATCTGCAAAAGGCATGATAAAATATGCAGTTATTAATTCTGCATTGTTGGCCACATATATTCCATGTCCAGTGGTGCTAGGATAAACGTGTAAAGGAGCCCTGTTGATCCTTACACCTCAGAGTTGAGAGGATGTCTATGTATTTCCACATTGGAGAGCTTCTAATTTTATTGCTTCTGGTTTGAAGTTGAACAAATCTACATTTGAAGAAACAGGAACGTAAATTAAGTCACAGAAAGAGAGTCCAGACTGAGCTGCCAAGGAAGCACTGTTCAGATAACACAGCCTGGGTCTCAACCCACTAACACATGCCTCAGAGCTGCAGCCTCTGGGGTTGAGCCCTGCAGGGCTGGAACCCTGCATCCAGGAAAACCAGTCCATTTGCTCAGGCAGTATTGCACAACCAGCTCGACCAGCCTTAGCAAAGTAGGCATGTGAAGATGATTACATTCTTCCAGGAATCTTCAAAAGATTTCTGGCAGCCATCAGTGCTTTTGGGTATGTAAAAAAGAGTTTGGTGACAGAGATATGCTCATTAGAATACAGGCAGAAAGTCATTTCTCCTCTAATACAATCCCTGACTTAAACCAGTGAAGACACTGATTTCACAATGTGAAGAACCACCCAGCACTTACTTGTTTTTCTTGTTTTAAGAAAGCGGGCAGAATTTGGAGGCGCTTTTTAAAACTTGGGCTTCATAGCAGAAGTGGCAGTTGTCTATTAAAATGCTGGTATTAGATACACAGAAACACTTCATAAGGCATTTAGAGATCAAGCCCTGCAGCCAAGCAGCAGCAACAGGTATTTTAGAAGAGAATTTTTTTTACTTCAGGGAAGAACAAAATGGAGATTTTTCTCCTTCCCAAGGAGTGCCCTAGCTGGATTACCAAATTCATCTGCAAAAAGTGGGTCACACAGGGGAAAAGTAAGAGTAAGCACTTCATTTATTCTTATTATAAACCCTTTAAGGCGTGTCTGAACACACCAGAGATCTAACAAATGCAGTTTGTTTCTTAACTTGTGTGCATGTGTGTGGCTGGGGGCAGCACAACTGTAGTTCTCCCAGAGCCTCACAGAACAACCCTGCCAGGGCCTGCAGCTCGCATCCGCATGGGCCTGGAGGATCACTCACCAGCCCAGAGGAGGTGAAGCAGCAAAGCAGCAGGTCACAGACTGCTGCCGCCAGGCTGGAGTGTGCAGGGCCTGGCACTGCTCAGGTAAGGAGGGCTGCAGCAGCGTGGCATGGTCTGGGGCACTGAATGTCTGGACAAAGCTGGCTTTATGTCCCCATGCGGAGCTGTGCTGACTCGCTCTCGCCTGGCACTCAAAGAGCTCCTTTCACATGGTGGGGAGGGGTGGGGGGACCGGGATGGGGACAACACATTTGATGCCCTTGTTCTGTCTTTCCAAAAGAGCTACTGGTGCTGCCTGTCCTGCCAGTGCAACGTGACTATAGAAATATCAGCAAGCTGCAAGACAGCTTTTTGTTTCCCCCAAAGAAACCAGGCAAGCATTCTCATTAGACCACATCTCTCACATGCACTGATCTGTATTAGAAATAACTGAGGCATACAGTAATGGTCAAGCACTCTCCTCACCCCTGTAGCCTCCTCACCAGCCTGGGGAGGGACATCCACACACTCCCCCCTCCTTAATGCAAACAAAAGATGCCCCAAGCAAGGCTTTCATGGGAGCACAGATCAGCCCTGAAGTCACTGGAATTCAGACCTCCAGTTTCTAACCCATCAGGCTTGTAAAGCCAAGCCCTTTCCATCCCACCTCCTGTAACTGCCTGTATCTTCCTGCAGAATTACCCAAACTGTGGCCACGGCCCCAGTTGAGCCAGCAGTGCTCCTGAGTTGGGTCATAACGGAAATTCAGTTGCAGAACTAAGATTGCAGTCCTGTAATAGAATTCAAAAGGCCAAAACCAGAGTTACTAACAGCGATGCTGAGGGTAATCACTAGATTAATCCTTAACACAAGAGGTCCTGAAACATAGTTGGTTATGCATTAACATGTGGTGGGAGAACTTCCTGAGCACCTGACTAATGCCCAAGACTTGGAGAGATTATTTACATAAATTAATAGTAGGTTTTATTATTATACATGTCCCAAAATTATTTCACCTTTTAAATATGCAACTGTATTATTTGCCTACCCCACCCTTCAACAGGAGTATGCATAAGCTGACCACTGGTCTTTAAAATGTTCAAAGTTATCATGTCATTTGGGACATCCTACCCTGATTTGACCTCATGGGATAGGATAAAGAGCAAGTAACAACTGAGTTCCCTAACATGTTTTTGCCTTCTTGCAATTAGTAGAAGCAGATGCACAGTCAGAGAAGAAGCAAAGTCACATACCCCAAAAGCAGCTTTGCCTCTCCCAAAATATATCAGAAGAAAGCATTCCTTAATATAAGCCAGAGAAGGGTACACAGCTCATCAGAACTTCCCAAAAAAAAACCAACCAGAAAGTCTTAGAATTAAGCCAAGAAATGAAAGCATTAAAACCGACAAAAATCATGCGAGTACAAGTAAGTCACATAGATGCCAGTAGCTGAACAAAAGCCATTCGATGAGCTTTATCAAATAGGGGGGCAAATGATGAGGTTGATAAGAAATCACCACTTTGCACCTGCCTGAAGGACATCATCTAAACTTCAACAACCTCTGGGACAAGACAGCGGGTGTCAGATGTCCCCAACACAAGGCACCAAGTGAGTGAACACCATGGCCAAGGGCAGGGGCAAAGTGACTTCAGCAGCAGCGTTCCTGTGCCCTGTCCAGGCGGGCTCTGCTCCACCGTCCTGCAGACCTCTTGCGCTGTCCCACCAAGGAGCACAAGAAAAAAGCTCCTTCCCTGGGAGTCTGTACGGGCAGCATAAAGAAAAGCTAATTGCTTCAACAGCCCCCAAACTATCGCAGGGAAAGAATCGAGTCAAGTCGCACTCCAGAAAAAGCTGTAATTAAAGGGAAAACAAGCAAAGACCTCGCTAGGAGGAAACGCAGGGAGGATGCGAGCAACAAGTGCCGCGCTCGGTGTGCGGGAGCTCCGCTCCTCGGGCCCACCCTCCCTCTCTGGCACATGTAACAGGAAACTTCCCGTCTCCGGGACAACCAATAACAAAAAACGGGCAGAGCCAACAGCTGGCTGTCAGCAGCCCGAGGAGAGCGGCGCCGGAGGAGCCGGGCGAGGGGAGTTGACCTGAGCGCTTAACACGACCGAAACGAGAGGAGGAGAGCTGGTGCGCGGCTGGGGTAAGGCTGAGCTGTTGTTGCTGGTGTTCGGTCAACCCTAACACCTGAACTCGATAGCAGGGAGCTGGAGCTTTCGCAGCTGTCTGCGCGGGGAACTGCGGAGTCAGCCGCTGAGCAGAGCCTGCCCAGCCCGAAGCCGTGTGCAAGGGACGCTCGGGAGAAAAGCTTTAAGGAGAGCTGCAGGAACCTGCGCCCAGCGCGCCGGGGCCAAGGAGCCCGCCCGCGGCCCCAGAGCCGCAGCAGGGGCTCCGCTGTGATGCGGAAGGCGGCTGCTGTGTTCCTGTTGCTGTTAGGGAATGTGACTCAAGCTGATAAGCAGTCTAGCACAGGGCATTCTCCACTGCAGTGACTTGATATATTAATGTAGACAAGAGGGCTCCTCTGCTCCTCCATATGTGTATGGGAGTAGCTGCTAGCACAGGCAAGCGCCTGCGAAACCAAGCGGGTGCAGCCACAGCGCTTCTCCAGAGCTCCTCCCAGCTGGAGCAAAGTTTAGCCCCCAAATCCTGAAGTAGAGAGCTTAGCAAATAAACCCTGGTCAGGGAACCAGCATATTGTGCAAGTTCAGCATCTGTGTCCAATAGAAATAAATGGAAAGACTTTACACAGCTTCTAACGAGCATTTTAAAAAATCAGCCAGGGCACAGATGCTGGTTTACTATTCAAAACAGCCTGAGAAACCACTGTGCAAGAGAACACAGACACACATACATGGTCTGTGATTTGCAGCAACAGGACTATCAGGTCTGAATGCAGTGAGAAGGGAAGGAAGAGGATGCCCCAATTACATGAAATTACAGAATCGTTTAGGTTGGAAAAGACCTTTCAAGATCATCAAGTCCAAGCCTTGGTTTTACATAAGAGAGGTGCCACATAGCCTGAGCTCCCATCTCATTTTGCTTCTGGATACGGAAGGGGGACTAGAAGGGAAACTGACCACATATCCCCTGTCTCCTGCCACGTGAAGATGGTGACTCTGTTCGGAAGCTCCTGCAACTTCTAACACTGAGCCAGGACCACTTGCCTCTTCCAGAAGGTACATGGGCAGTCAGCTGTTTACCAACAGGCAGGGAGAGAGGCACGAAGCCAATTCTCACCAAAAGGATCCTGATCTTACACATACCTGTAGGGAAGAATGTTAAGGATCAGGTATTTCCACTTCTCTCCATTCCCATTAATGCAGAACAGAGGGTGGCTCTTTCTGACCTACGTGTTGTACAAACAAACACCAGATTGGAACTGCCTGTGCAGGAGCAAAGACCCACACACCTCCAGTCTAGCCCTATGTTCAAAGGGGATGAAGGCAAGTTTCTACCAGGCTAATGAAGTGTCACTGCAGGCTGGTTGTTGCAGTTAAGATGGCTTCTTAAATTATGGGAAAAACAAAGTTGGGGGGTAAGGGGGAAGGCAGGAGGGAGGAGTGAGGGGAGAAAGGCTGGGGTGAGGTAGAAA